AGAAAGAAAGAAAGAAAGAAAGAAAGAAAGAAAGAAAGAAAGAAAGAAAGAAAGAAAGAAAGAAAGAAAGAAAGAAAGAAAGAAAGAAAGAAAGAAAGGTTATAAGACATGTCTGTTTGCTCAGGATAGCTATTTTTCAGTGTACAGAGACTGGCTTAAGCCCCAGATTTATCTGTTTGGATGCAGTTTGTTTCCATTGCTTGTCTCATCTTGAGGCATAATGCAATGCTGCTCTCATTGACCTTTTTATTACAGTAGCCCTCCAAGGCTCAAATGGGGAAAACCCCCAACAGTTTAGTCTAAGAACATCTAGCACAAAAAGCAGGTGACACACAGAGTAAAGCCAGTTACTCTTTTTATAGCTATTTAATTACAGCTTTTTTACTATTTATATTAAAAAGCCATGAGTTTTCTCTGTTGCTCTTTTGCCAAGACAGGTTTCTTTTGATGTCACACCAGAATACATATTCTGGAAACAACTGTAAAAATGCACTGGAAACAGAGGTAAAAGAAACTGCTGAGAGAATGTATGCATTGGCTTTACTACACCAATGTGAAGAAAGTGGTTTGTCCTTTTCCCTCATTTCCTATTGGCAATGTGCATTGGGATCTCAGGAAAATGTTCTCACAAAACTCTTGTGGCTCTGATGGGGAAGAACTGAGAACCCATAAAGAAAAGTGGCATGTTGAAATGTGTTGTTTGCATTTTATCATGTAAAAGACTGACACTTCTTTTTCCATCTTTTAAACCACAAAGGGATGCAATATCTTTTGGCAAAGTAGTACAACATGAGATGCACTTGTTGGTGATATCTCTAATTTCCTCTTCAAAAATGTACCACCTCTCCAGCATAACTAGTGGATTAGTTGGAGTAGGGGATCTGCCACCAGAACTTAGTCTTCAAAACAGCTAAATGAACACTGGAGACAGTAGCAGATACTGCAGAGCTTACACCCTCCCTCTCCCCCCCAGACCAAGAGATAAATCTCTTTCTTTCTAATTGCCAAGGGTATGTTCTTCTAGCAGAGATGATGTAGCAATACCCAGTGAGAGGAAGAGTTCCAGTGACAACAGGGAATAATGATGACCCTTTCTTTTGGATGTGATGGCAGTATTTTAACAAGGGAATCCTCCAAGCTCCATAAACTGTCTGTGTAACATCCTAATTTCAGAACCTGGGCACTTGATGCTGAGGAGAAAGGGCCATTTAAATTCTGAGGAATTTTTATACCCACAGACATTAGTTCCTAGCTGTGGAAGAACACATTCCCTATGTAAGCCATGCTAGCTGGCCTGCAGTAACCAGAAACTGTTTCTCCCATAGGAGGCAATGTCAGCTGGAAGCTAAAAAATGAAGAGAAAGTCTGCTCTGTTTTCTCAGGATAACACAGAAGTTGAACTTCATTGCTCACACCTTGCCTGTTCTCACAGGGGAAGCAAAGGCTTTACAGTGATCCAGATACAAGAGGAAATGCTGAACAGCAAAATGCAGACATTTGTGACATAAAGTTAGAAAAAGTGACCTACAGGTAGATGTGCTGAACCCTTACACCTTTTACATGCAATGTTCACCCCCAAGACAGATGATGTCAATCAAGTCCTGTGCTGTTATATGCTTACAGAAAGGTGAGCGCAGGAAAAACATTTGAATTTAGAGAAAAAAATACATAAATCAAGATGGGAAATAAAGTCCAATTTGGTGATGAGGGCTTGCCAGATTAAGTTCCTACAAAACAAGAAGCAGCAACACCTGCATTCAGAGTCACAGTGAAAGAGTGGCTTCCTGGGCTAATATGAAATCTTCAGGAGCTCAATAACCATGGAAACCTCAGTGAAAGGAATGCAACTTCAATAAAATTCAGAAAAGAGAAGAAGAAATGGTAATTGGAGAACTGTCAGAGGCAAAAGTACATGTATTTCCTTCCCCAGAGATTCTTGTAATACAAACAGGTTTTATTTTTAAACAAAAATATTCTTACTGGCATCTATAGGAAACTATTTGGTGCAAAGGCTTTGTAATATCTTTTCTACAGTTGTCACTTATCTGCATTTATGAAGGCCTTGGTTTTAGAAACTTTTGGACAAATTAACTCTCAGTTTTCACTTATAAGTAATAAGAAATAATCTGTCATCCTCACTTCTCTCAATAGCTTCAAAACCAATAAAAGCCAACTAAAATAAGTAGCTCTGGAAGCATGCCTTTCTACCTTGTATTTAATATGTATTGTACTGTCCCTTATTAGGAGCCAAGTTTGTATTAGTGCTGTTCAAATACAACTATTATTTCTATACTCAGTGAGGTCTGTGAGGGACATTGTCAGAAACTGCAGGTAAATCATGGTGGGGAAAAAACCAGCTCTCTGCATCAGTTAATGAATAAAGCTCAAGGAGCAACAGAAGGAACAATGCATTCACCACTGCTAAAATTTAACTCTGTAACTTTCAATAAAAATTCATAACAAGGACAATAAAAATGGCAACAGAGGAACATTCTTCCCCTTTCTCTATTGTCATTACCTTCTGTTTGTTCAGCACTCATGTGTATCCAGCTGAGACCCCGTAAGTTCACTTTCCTTTTGTTATGATCTTAACCAGATATAAACTGTAAAGCAGAACTCTGCACTAAACTTTTGCTTTGTTGATGAAATCTTTAAGCCTTACAATATTTGTTAAAGAACAACAGATAAGATTCTGTTTGCCAAGCATTTTTCAGGTAGTAGCTGGATTAAATAAATTTGTTCAGAAGTGGCTGTCTTCAGTCCCTGCTGATCAGTGTGTGTTCCTCTGAACAGCTATTCCCCACCTAGGGAGGAAACCTTGCACTGTCCCATTACTGCCCCAAATCAAAGAAATTACATTAATGACAAGTCTGGTTGCTGAGAATCTGAGAATCAGAATCCTCTTGCTTAGGGTTGTAAAAATAAACTCAACTCTCCACATTCATTGCTGCATTACTGCAATGATGTTACCAATAACAACATTAATCTCCGTAATAACACAACACTCCGTAAAGGTCCAGCTTTACCATCCACTAAGTGTTCATCTTACAGAGATGGTAAAAATTTCATCATCTTTGCCCTTCGCACTGAGGGTATTTACTATGGACAGAGATGCCTCTGGAGATGTCAGGAAGGGGTCCCAAAATTCCCATCTCCCAGGTCTTTGTCAAAGGGGCTCATAGTTAATGAGATAATAGCAAGCTCTTTGTCTTCTGTGTTCACATCATAGACTCTATTTTCACACAAATCTTTAGTCAACTGGTTATGTCCCTGCAGAGTGGGGTCCCTGTGGGTTGAGAAGAAATCAGTGTATTTGAAAGGTGTGTATAGCTAAGCTATGTGTGCTGAGTCTGGTTTGTACAATTAAGTATTTTCTGGCTCATTAATACCTGTACTGTTGAATGCAGACTAGGGCTGTTGCTAAAGAGACCTGTATATTTTGGAATAGAGGACAAGTACCTATAGCATTTCAGTTGTTGTATGTCTAGCCAACATCAATGTGAAAAGTGCAAATTGCAGCAGCCACAAGGTTTAATCTAATGGGTTGTTGTAAAGTCTGTGCCTTGCTCAAACAGTTTACTGAAGGCAGCCCCAGGGAACATAGTTAATGTACGCAGTTTCATGATCCTGTGTAGATCTCTCATTGCTCTAAAACCTGCAGCCTGGAGGATTTTCTTTGAGTTCTCTTTGCCTGTCTTGATTCTTGGAATGTTCCAGACACGTGCCCCTAGGGAACCAACAGTGTCAAACTGCTTTCTCATCCTCTACCTGTCCTCACACAGATGCATCATAAGAACATCAGTATTTCCTACATTGGAAGTCTGGGTAATGAGCTGTGCCTTCTTCAACAGAACTTGGATGGGTCAAAAGTTCATATGCAAGAGCATACTTTGACTGCCATCTTCCTCCTTCTGGAGGGAATGCCTCATTCTGCAGGGATTCTGGTGGTGTCAACTGCATACTTTGGATGCCTGCTACTTACAGAACTCTGTAGATTGGCCACACACTGCTATATTCACAGATTATAAGTTGTTTCCATTTTTGCAGAACAGTCATTCAATTACTCATTAATTTGGGCTCCATGATCCACTTTCTTGCATGGCCAATCTGGTCTGTGGTTAAAGGAAGCTGTTCCCTTGCAAGCAGAGCTTGTTAGGACAAATTCTTCATATTTATTCCCCTTACTGACATCTTCAAGATGGTGAAGAGAAATTGAGCCTGGGAGGCCAGAGGTAGCCTGGGACCTTCGTTACAACAGATGTGACATCAAAGTGCACCAGCAAAAAAGTCCTATTAAGATGCCCCATCCTGGCGCCTGCCATGTGGCAGGTATTGTGAATAAGAGAACGAAGACCCTGTTTAAATTTAAGGACCTACTTGAAGAAGCCATGCAGAAGAATTTTAGGACAAGTCTTGTGCTCCATGGGAAAAAAAAGTTCTTGTGGTTGTGATGTATTATTTTATTATTTTAAATTATCTTCATTTACGAAGACAAGAGCTATAAGGTTTTTGTGTTTTAAGGATTGCTGTTATCAGTGTCCCATGTGGCTAAATATTGAAAAGCAGTAATGAGTGTGCAGGAAGTTTGGTTTAGTTAGCAAACTAACTTAATTTATGTAAACCACTAAAAAAAATACCTCCTTGGCCTGTTTGCTCAAGGGACTGTGAATGTGAGCCCATTGTTCAAGACTGAGGACCATTACTGTTAACACTTATGAGATGTGTGAAATAAGGGTCTATAATGATTTCTTGCTTCACTTATCAAAGTTTTAACAGCTCCTTAGTAAGTCTGAATACAGCTCTAATGCCTAATTAACCCTGGCTTTATGTCACTAGTATGCTATAAACAAAAAGAGCAACAAGTGTCAAGGCAGGTAGGCAGCCTTTATAGTCAACAGTTCAGCTTAGGAGGAGATGTGCATGTTTTTCTTTAAACACAGAAAATGGTAAACACAAAGTCACCCAAAACCCCACACCCAGCCACCCACTCACCCTTTGCCAGACTCCTGAATGTTGTCAGAACCTTGCCCTGAAGAAGCATACAAGATTGCAGCCTTCATTTTATTGCTATTTGCATGGCAATTACTAATCATGAAGCTGCCATATGGCACTGGCTGCCCATTCTTTTTCCAGAAGGATTTGAATTATGGGCAGCAATTTTGTCCGCCTAGTTTCTCAGAGACTCATGCAACAAAGATTCTGCAACTCATGTGGACCCTCATTGATTAGTTCGCATCTGAGCACCTTCCAAAACACTTCCTTAAAAGATTCTAACCTTCCTTTTGAAGTCCATGAAAATTTGCTGCAGTCAAGCATGTGGAAGAATGTGAGCAACTAGACAAGCCTGACTTGCAGAAAAAGAGGTAAGTCAGTCATCTACCCTTTTTAGAAAAATATGTTTGCTTTCCAGGTAAGTCTGAGAACAACCTTCATGAGACATCAACCTTTACAAGTGAAATTGAGGGTGACTGACAGGATAGGCTCTATCTCCACACAGGTTCTCCAAGTGCTGTGCAGCATCTAATAGGAGAATTTCAACAATTGTTAGAAACAATTTCTAACAATTTGTTAGAAATTTGACAGTACTCTTACTGGTCCCTCTGGAGCTTTCTCTGTAGTTTTTAGCAACACAAATGTTTTCTCTGTGATAAATACATCAGCTTGAAGCCCCAATAAAATGAAGATTCTCCAAATGATACAACCTTACACAAACTCTTCTCTAGCAAGTGATCCTTACATCAACTATCATCACTACCCTGAGGCAGAACGCAGCTTTTCCTAGGGAAAAATATCAGAGTCAATACACTGCTTTTTCTGTTTTAAGTAGACTTAGCATACTACAGAAACACTCCAATTCTCTTGAGATCTTCCACTCAATGGTGCTGGTTCATTTATTTATTTGTACACAGATACAGAAGAACACACGTCCCAGGATTGCAGTATCTCTTCCACCTAGAAAGATAGGATCCTGGCACAGACTAAAGTGTAAATAACATGGGAGCAAACACCAGCCTCTCCCTGCCAACAAGAACACAGATAACACAAAATCACCAGTCCCAGACTGCCTCCCCAGCTGCACTCTGTTCCCATTAGTGAACAATGAAGCCCTGGCTTCTCCCAGCAGTATGGAATGGCTCCTGAATGCATTCACAAACACACAGATTTGCCACTTGCAGGGCAGAGATTCCAGCTCTTTTGGGCCAAAGGCATGCTTCAGTTTGTAGTCTCATTAGAGAAGGAACTGTGTGAACATATTGGCACTCAGTAAACATCAAAATTATCAGCAAGTGCCTTCACTTACCAATGTTTATCCCAGAATATTGGTTCTTACTTTCAAATAGGACCAGCCTCAGCTGTCACTGCAGCCCACCACATTTTCCTACCACACACCTGACTGCTTCCCAAAACTCCTTGGTCGCAGAACATCATTGTGGGTCTCCTACAGCACCAGCCACTTCCAGGCCCTCACCCAGCCCGTGCTAGGACATTTGGAACAAATGCATTACTGTAAACTGATGTTGCTGCATTATTACAGATTGAGCATCATGCAGTGGATACAGTGGTGAGGCTAGCAGTGGGTAAAATGCTCAATAATGCTAACTGTATTGGTGAACATTTCTTTAATATGGACAAGAATGAACAACCAAATTAAAATGTAGGTGATTATAAACACTCTTGAACCTTGTCTATGCATAGAGACATCCTGAGGGGTCTGGAAAAAGGCAGTGAGGAGCTGTGCAGGCAGGCAAAGAGTTTTTTTTTCTTTTTTTATTTTCCTTTTCATTACAATTTTGTAATTTTTTTTCAATTTTAAAACTGCTCTTATCTAAACGCGTGTGTTGTCTCACTTTTACCTTTCCAGCCCTCTTTCCCATCCTGCTGAGGGGGAATGAGTGAGTGGCTGTGGGGTGGTTGGCTGGAGTTAAGCCATGACAGGCTGTTACATTAAATTGGCTTTTTGAAACTGATGGAGCTTTACATCTGAACCTACAGCTGGTGCTCTCCTGTTCAACTTGCACATGCTCACATGGGTACAAACTGAATGGGTGTAGCCCGTAAAAAGAGATTTAAATTCAAACAAATAACCATTAAGGAGGTCATGCTGATTTCATTAAGGGAATCTGAACTTCCATTTATGTTAAACTGGTGAAACTTTCATGAGCAGACAAGGTCTATCTAAAG